GGGGGGGGGGGGGGGGGGGGGGCCTGTGCAATAACGTAACGGCATGTGACAGCTTCTTCGAGGAGAAATCTAGGTCCCACAGATTCTGATCGTATGTCTCCGATTCCCCGTGAATCCTTCTTGCCCGAAATATGCTTTCTCTCTCTCGTTCTCTCTTGTTCTCTCACTCTCTCTCGTCTGGGGATTCGGAGGATCCAAATGCCGATGGGGAAACGTCGGCAACGATTTGTCGGCCGAGCCTCAGGCTCGCCATTCTATCGGTCGGGAGGAGAGAGAGGATACCCAGCCCCGGATACCCTTAGTGAGAGGTCGGAAAGGGAAAATGACAAAAGCAGCAAATCTCAGTCCACGAAGGGTCGTGTTCTTTCCACCCTTTCAAAAGATGGCATCTCCTTCGACGCCGTCGCGAGACGCAGCATTGCGCAACACCGCCGCGTTGAAGGCGTAATCGGTGACGTAACGAAGGAAGCTCCCGACCACCCTGTGGTAGATGTCCATTTCCCACTCGAAGAGCCAGTCGAAGAACGGGCCCGTCATCTCCGAGGCCGGCATGTACGCCTCGATGATGGAAGAGAATCTCGGCTCCACCTCCGCCGTCGCATCCACCGTCTCGTCCGGCAGGTCGACCGGGGCCGATTCCACCGCCTGGGTCCAGACCAGAACCGCGCAGACAACCGACAGCGCTAGCTTCCCTATACGAAGAGGAGATTGGATTAAACCTCTTCTTTTGATGAACGGGTTGCGACGCGAAGCGCAAATTCCCCCTATTGGACGTCTGGAGTCGAGGTCGAGCGTCTCTCATGCCTTTCCCCTCGTAGATAGACCCTTCCCCTCCAGAGATAATGTCTTTTCCTTTTCGTGGGAGCGTCTCGCCCTGCTCCCTTATCACAGCTAATGGTAGCAAAAACTCCTTTCTTTGGTTTCGTCCACGAAAGCACGTAAGTCGGTGTAGAAGCCATCCACGGAAGGGGCAGACAATACAGCTGCACCTAATCGATTCCACCCACCCGACAATAAAAAGAAGCCGTTCCGCAACTTCGGTCTTACGTAACTCCGAACGGATTCTTTCTAGTTCCATTGCGAAAAAAAATTTACTTCGTTCTATATAAACGATGCCCATAAACAAATACTAAATGCATGGATGAGGTTGCCTCTTGTTAACCTTTTCTCGAGCGAACGGCGTCCGAGCGTCGCCCGAATGGCGTCCCAACGCTTCTCACGTGAGTCATCGTTATCGTTTTAGTAGCCGGCTTCTTTACGTCCTTCAGCGACATTAACTTCGCAGGCCGACAAATGGAACACGATGGCCAAAGCGAGGCCTTGCCAACGAAAGAATAATTCTCGAGCTGTTCCCAGTAATTGATGGCTTGAAAAGGGGGAGATCCCGTCATCCCGTCACCGTTCCCCGATCTTACGGAACGACAACTCGACTGATTGATACTTCCTGCGCTATCAATGACTTTGCATTCTCTGCCCCCCTGGTTTTGTTGGGGGGGGGGGGGGGGGGGGGGTTGGAGGCCGCCCACATCGCCTCCTAATGCATGGCTCAACGACGGAGTATTTAATTTAGCGCGAGCAGCGGATCCTTCCTCGAACAAAGTGGGCCAATTTTTCAAATATTCCCCTTTTTTTTCCTCGGACTCGAAATTTCCTTTGGATAATGCATGCGGACGAGACGAGAAGAATTTGCGTTTCCTCTGAGAAAATCCGCGAATCAAACCTAAAATAATATACCACTAAAAAAAAAAAAAAAAAGCTGAGCGGTGGATTTGTAGCGGACCGGACGATCCCTTCAATCTTTCCTCGATCACCCTATCGAAACTCCCACACGAATCGTCATTCATTATATCCTAATTTAAAGGGAACTAAGAGACCTTCCAACCGTGAGGAAATCGTCGCTATCGGTGAAGGGAATTTCGAGCAATCAACGAGGAAAGAGAGGGAAATGTCCACGAGAGCTAGGAAAGAGCGCTGATTTTTCGCGGAAAAGTGCATTAAGTAAGGAACAGTCCGACCGATGGGAAAGTGAATCCATCCGAGAATTCCGCCCTCAATATGCAGACGTTGAAGGGGTTGGCGGCGTTTCACAGGAAGTCGTTTCTCAGACGAGACCTTTTCGCCGAGCGAATGCTTCCTAGAAATGGTACCGTTACGCAGAACAAAAACAAGCATGTTTCGAAAAGAAAAGCCTGGCACTACGAATACTTTTTATTCTCAAATCTTTGCCAAAATAGCTTTTAAAAATGAAGCGAAGTGAATTGCCCGTCTGCATCCATTTACAATAACGGCAGCAGCGGGTTTTGCGCTTCTCTTAGCGGTTTCCTTCCGTTCGCTTCCGATGGTTCCTCATTATTCCTCCTTTGTCGGGAGCACGATCCTGAAATTCCGGCCGTTTTACGAAATCCATTCTATCCTTAGTAACGGTCACAGAGTTCTCATGTTCGTATCGAATGTATAGCAAATTACTTTCTGCGAAACGACTCTTCTAGCTAAAACAGGTTATTCGGCGAAGCGACTCGTCTGCGAAACGGAACTTTCGGTTAATCGACACGAACGGAATCGCGTCGAACGCTAATAATGCATGGCTCATCGAAGCCGAAATGGTGAAAGTTCTCACACCTTGAAAGTGTGCTGAAATTTGAAGCTATTTCTTTTTAAATTGCCCGACTTGCAGATGGGACCTGTTCGGACCGACATCACGATATCGCGCAATAAAATGCCAAAGATGACAAGTTGAAAAAAGAAAATTGATTACCTTTCATGGCGAGGTCGACTTCAAGACTTCAAGGCAGGAAAGAAACTGAAAAATATATCCGGGAAGAAAGAACACGTCAGCAGAATGAAGACGGAGCTCGATTCCGAGAGAAAAAGAAATTTCTTGCTTTTTTCTCCTCCGCCGACGCGCATAAACGATGTGACAATGGATGCCAGGCACGTCGCCCCTTGTCAACTGTCACCCTGTCGCATGCATTCCGCAAATTTTCTCTCTGGGATTTTCCTCGTTTCGACGAGAAAGTGAAACCGCGGGATCCTGTCCCATGCAATCGATTATCCTAAAAAGGATGATCTTGTGCGAATCCATCCCGTGCGAGGGGCGAATCCATCCTGTGCATGGGGGAGGGGGGAGGGGGGGGAATCCATCCCGTTGCCAAGAGGAAGGCGATCAATCATGTACAAGTCTTCCTTCTCCCCCTTTCTAGTCTTCTTGCGACCGAGAACGCATTCCTCTATTCTTCGGTTCCACTTGAGTTTTGAAAATGGAGCGGTCTGGGGAGAGGGGGGGGGGGGAGAGAGGGGGGGGGGTGGAAGGGCGTGGGAAGGAGAGGGATGATGGAATAAATGGGAATACAATAGAATTCCCGGATGTCGCCTTGGGGGAATTGGAATCGATCTTCGGATTATCTTTCTCATATCATTCTAATCTCTAATCCGATCTAAGGACACGTAACATAACAATCCAATTATTCCCTGGCTCTCCATCCTGTATAAGTCTCTCCGGGGAAATTTCATATTCCATTCGCATTCCCAGTCCATCATTTCTGGGGAATTTTATGCACTACTTCGCGGGATCTTGGATGGAACAAAATTCCCTTCTCATTTTCCCCGTTGAGGGTTTTCCTTGCAGCTTGTTACTCAGTTTTTTTTTTTTCAAACAGACATCCGGTCAGCCTCTTGCACAATTGTTCTTTTTTTGTGCCGTCATGGCTGAATAAACAAGCTTCCATTTAGCATCTGCCAATTCTTCAATTAATGCTTCTTCATCTTCGTATACTTGGAAAAAAAAAACTATTGAAAATTTTTTTCCTCCAGGACCGTATCCGTCGGACAAAAGTACCAGTTCACCTCAACACTCGTGACGTGTGACGTGACGTGTGACATGACATCATCGATACATCCCAGATGGCGATTTTCTCACAGACGATTCCCACCTCAGCGATAAAAGATGAACCGCAAAATATTCAGCACGGATGATGGCGCGAAGAAATTTTTTTTTCTCCTCCGCGAGAAAGCGAGTTTTAATACGATACGGTGTAAAATAAACATTTCCAAGTCGAGCCAGAAGCTTTTCTTTTATGATGTAGCGCGTTGAGCTCATCCATCAACTCGGCCCATCTCATTCCCCACTTTCTTTCCCTGCATTACGAGAATTCCTCGACCCGAGGGCACACGATGGAAGGAAAGCAGGAAGAGCCAGTCTCCCGTGATGATTAAAAAAAATATTTTTACTGTCGGCATTCGACCGAACCTCGATCGATATCGCAGCAAGAAAAGACTGGCGAATAAAAAAAAAACTGAGATGCAATTATGGAAGAAACGAACATGGCTGGGGCTTTCATTGATTCCAGTATAGCGAACCTGTCTCAATGGGAACAATACCCCGAAACGAGATAAAAAGGACAAGAGGAACCATTATGTTTTCCTTCCCCTCCTCCCCCCACCCCCCCCCACCCCCCCCCGCCCCCCCCCACCCCCCCCCCACTCATTATGTTTTCCTTCCCCCCCCCCCCCCCCCCCCCCGCCCCCCGCCCCCCTCGTCCCCCGTGTTCACCATTTCCGAGAGAAAAGGGTCGATGCGCCGTTTCCTTTGAGTTTTCCTTTTATCCCTCCATTGTTTCCTTTTTCCCATAATGTAAATTCGCAATAATTGATCGGATCGATTAGCAGCTGGCTCCCCGACTGAATCATGAATAATAGAGACTCGCACAAAGTAGCCTCCATTATCTAAGAGGACGATGCGAATCCGCTGGTAAAAATTCGTCTTGCATGCCGGAAATATAAGAGCATCGGAAAGGATCGATTCTCCGAATGCAAATTAACACTTTTTTCCTTTGTTTCTCCTCGTCTAATTGGTACATGATATTTTTGGGGAATCTTTTTCTTTAATGAAGACATGATCGATGATTCCCCCGAAAGAAGAAAAATGCCTGAATCGCTTTAATCGCTCAAACAATCCAAAAAAAAATTTCCCCTGAAGGGTTCAATGTTTCTATATTTACGAAGTCGGACGAACAAACGACCGCCACGATAGAAAGATTTAAATTTAATTCCGATGTTCTGGATCTCATCTGAGATTCCCCAATGAAAATGCACTTTGTGATTGAAAAAAATTCCAGGGAGACGGAGGAGGGGATCCCGGCGGACGATGAGGAATTCATCATTCTCTTCAATTCCACGCTGTTTCTCTCCCGAGAAATGAGGAAATGCAGGCGCCTCGTCTCGGATCGACCCGTCGACATGTCTCAGTACAACGGTGAGGTGCCCCCGTTTTCATGCCCCGTCTTTATGCCCCGTCTTCATGCCTCGTCTCCGTGCTATAAACCCGATTGCCGCCGATGAGGATCGGATGAATATTTGATCGTCCGGGTAATGGGATCCGTAGATCTCGCGTCGTGCAACTTTCATGCCCCGGGATCGAGTTCCCTCTCGGGACCGATGCGAATCAGAATAATGGGGGAATTGGCCTAACCTTCGGAATCATGGGGAAATCGACTTAACCTTCGGAACAATGGGGGAATCCGCTTAACCGTAATGGATCGTGACAGAGGTGCAGCTGATGCCGTCTGGCGGGATGAGCGTCCTCAGCCAGATCGTCCTCTCCACCTGTCGCCAGCTGGCCCCCGACTGGAACCTGGAGGAATTCATGATCATCGATCGGGAGTCTGCGGAGCTCCGGCGACACCTCGACGAAATGCAGCAATATATCCCGGGCGAGGAGCATCGCCTATACGGTGAGCGGAGGAGATTAATCGCTCGATCCGTCGTGTTGTGCATGCACCGATGCGAACAAAAAATTAATATGCAATATAAATGCTATTTTTTAATTGAACTCAGTTGCTGGAAAGGAATTTCGTTTGCAGTCGTATCTATTCATGCATGAAATCGCATCGCTCGAAAAATAATCTCATGAAAAAAAATCTAGCCAAACGTACGAAACGAAGTATCTCAGAAAAGCATGAATGAGAAGCACTCGTCGTTGAACAACTGCCACCTGTTGCATGCATGAGGCGAAACCGAACCTTGCATGAAAGCCAATGCTACATGCTGCATGCTACATGCAGCATCGATGAGAGATAGTGCGGGGAATTAAAGAAGCCCTGAGGCGATCGAGAGACTCTGTAGGCCAGAGGAAATCAAAGAAATCCTGCTTCGTTGACAGTGACGGTTCCCCAGGGGAACCTTGGATTCCTTAGGATTCCCCAGAGGCCTGCTGGAGATTCTGTTCGTATGTACGTATTAGTTCCAAGGTCGCCATCATTGGACCTTTCCCGTAAGGATCGTAATGAATTAGTGCGCCTCTATTCCCAGAATAGATTCACTCTCATTTATTGAGCATCATTAATCCTGCGCAGATGTGGGGGAGGCTCCTTCTCACCCCCCCCCCCCCCTTCCACTCCCCCCCCCTCCCCCCTCTCCCTTCTCCCCTCTTAAAGTGCAGAAAGGCACGAGAAAGGGTCTGTCTGTAATCTAGACGCGAATTCCTCACGCATTAGAAGGCATTGCGACCGAGAGATATCGTGACTTTCTCAAATGCAGATAGAGAGCACGGGAGCCCGTCGATCCTCGTCAATCTCCTACCATAATTATGTTTGGCCTTCGAGAAGGAAAAACGGGATCTCTCGCACGAGCCTTCTAAACCGGTTTTTCCATCGTCTAACAGACACCATCCACCACAGACACCATCCTCCACCGACATCTTCATTATCTCACTCTCGAGAGTGAGACGTGCTTACCATCGCGTGATGCGATAATCGAAAACGAGGAATTCTCGTTCGTTTCTTGGACTTGGACTCGAGGGAGTCGCCAAGCCGATGTTTGCTTCGGTTTCCCACCGACCGTCCATCGTGCCGATAACATCGATGATTCCAGCCCTGAAGTCTCGGCTGTTGTCGAAAGGGATGTCGATGGGAAACGACGATAATTATCATAGTTAACACTCGAGTCCCCTCGAAAACGAAAGCGGTGGGAAGAGCGAGGCTCGTGAACCTTTCTCCTGCCGCCTCCCTAGTAGCATTATAACATTGAAACAACATTGATTCGATGTCGATTCAACACCTGAACGTTGAAACAACATTTATTCAATGTTTTATGCTACCAGGGCTTTTGTGAGAGGCACGGCGAGATGAGAAAGAGACATCAATTCGACAAGGGACGTCATTCCGACACGGGACATCGTTTCGACCCAGGGCTCTGTTCCTTTTGGCCACTGCAAGTAACTGGAAAAAGAAAACCTCTCACAGAATAAACTATTAGGCGTCGGCATTTTAACATTGAAACATCTTTTCCTCGCAGATGAGGTTCATGACGTCATACGTTAGCGAAAGGAAAGAGCATGAAAGTACGCCCGAACTGCACGAACTGCATCGCCAAACCAAGTTAGGAAACGGCATTTGCAAATTTTTCTTTTAGTCTACAGCGAATGCAGCTATTTGACATTTTTTCTGCTTCTGCCGTCATAGTCGCCGACGAAGACCCCGAACCGCCTCACCTAACCAAACGAGGAAAAAAAAAAAGCAAAACAAGAAGGAATAAAGATTGATGGGGACATTCATTCCCATCGGAGGAATGAATAACTCCCGTCCGGATTTTCCCTCCTTCGAAGAGGCATAATAGACTATTGACATTCGCGGACCCTCTCCCGACTTGATGACTTTCCCCCTCTCTTGCCAAGACATTAAGTCTGTCGACGTTAAGTTGACGGGTTCTCTCCCCTCGAAGTGCAAAGTCTTCCCGGATCGGCTCCATGCTAATAGCTCCTAAACGCCAACTCGTCCTTTCTACATCTATATATTGTCGAATTCCTCATGGAATTCAGAGTTAAGCAACCGTTAAGCAACTGTTTAGCAACTGTTAAGCATCCTGCGAGGTTTCAAAGCAACGTCCAAATTTTCTGGTCGAAATGGTCTCAATCGACCGTGTTTGCTACTGGCAACGGCTTCGAGGCAACGAGAATAAGCTTATTCACCTTATTAATCCACTTATTCAAAGACTCAAATTAATTAAATCCTCCATAATTTTTAATCCATAATCCTCCAAATTTTTAAAGTAGTTTTTCTTAATTCATGCAATCATTGGTTAATTATTACTCTCAAGGATATTCATTGCCCATGTAACCTGTGAGCATTATTTGCATAATTATCAGTTCACCATGGCACCATGACCTTGTTTTTGGTTTTTCATTCGTGAGTTCTCTGCAGTTTTCTTTTCCCGCAAGCTTTTACTTTTCCCAATTTGGCGTAACTCGGCACTTTGCGTGCAGGAAATTTCGCTGTCGCGATCGACTTTCCGATGCCCTTGAAGAGGCACGATGAACGGGAAATCTCGTGAGCAGTGAAAACATTTCGCGAACGGGGGAAACGACTAATCTGATAGATAATCTGATGATCTTCGTCGAAGTGAGAGAAAAATCCTCACGACGGTGTCCACGCCAACGGGAAACTCGTGCCTGCATTTTACCTGTCGATCGAAAACGTTCACCGAAAAGCCACGGAAGCTCGAGCGTCGGAAATGGCCGTTGACTCTTGCGTCCAACTCTGAATTTCGCCTCAAAAGTTGTAAATAAATTTGGCGTTCTGGCCGGTAGAAATCTCGCATTTCCGGCTCTTTCCGAAACGGTTGACCGCCTGCCATTTTCGACCTGCAGATTTTGTGCATGCGAATTTGACCGTTGCTGTCACGAAGAATACGCGGAAAATGCCGCGGAGTTTCGGAGGATCGTCTCGACAGTAATGAAAACCCTCGTATTTAGAGCCTTGGATGCGGATTACTCCCGCTCGTCCGTCTCGAATTTCCGATACGGGCTTTTGCACTCCAAAAGCATAATAGTAATTAAGTGAAATATCGGAGCTCTCAAGACCCAAGGGAGAATAGGCAAGACTCCCACAACCCATCTCTCAGCATTTCCCTTCTTATTCAAAGTTGGAAACGATGTTAGGAAGGGCACAGGAGGCGAAGAAGGGCACAGAAGGAATGGATTGTTTTTGCGTGGAAGGGGATGTCTCCCTCGGGAGTCCCCCATTCCGTGCCATTCCGTCCCCCATTCCGTGCCCCATTTTCCCTCCTCTTCTTCCCAGGGACTCCCTCCCCATTAGATGAACGGAGGGAGTCCTCGACGGGAGGGAGACCTCGACGGGAGGGAGTCCTCGACGCGAAGCCCCCGCGGTGCAAGATTCATAGCGCATTTTTCCAGGTGGATTCCCTTTCCAGGTGGATTCATTTTCTCTCCCGTGTTCTCCGAGAAGCCATCGGAATGGCTTTGGGAGGCTGGGAACAACGTCATCGTGATCCGGGGATTGGAGAGAGGAGAAAAAAAAAAACCAAACAAATCCAGCTAAGACTCCACGCGGAATG